TAGGGTTACGTAAATGCTAATTAATATCGAGAATATAGAATGAGCCTGAAAGTTGATTTGTATAAACAAAATATATATTTTTGCAGTAACGCAAACAAAAACGTGCGAACTAGCTAACCCGATGCAAAAAATTAATAAAAAATAGCGTTTTCAGACTACTTCAGCTTTGTTACATTAGATCATTTGTGAAACTGCCAGAGGAAGTTTCTAAACTAATTTTCTCTTATCTAAGTTAATTAGAGAGTTGAGAATGGCTGTATATCTTTAAACAATCAGTTATATTAAAGATATGAAAACGTGTATTTCCTTGTTAAATGCCGGGTTGAGGGTAAGCCCCTTAAGAGTTGCGTTGATGATTACATGACTTTATCCACTCAAAAACCAGCTCTCTTTTTATTTTCATTCAGAATACAATATCAAAAGGAGGGTCAAGCCGTYCGTGGGCTTTTCAAGATTAGGGATCGGTCATTTTTATTTATCGCCTGGATTTGGATTTGGGAGGGGGGGAGGAGATCTCTCATGCTTTTTAGACAACTAGAGGGAATATCAGGTAAATATTGACAGGTATCAAAGGGGGATCACTCAGTAGCAAGCACTAATATAAGGGGGGATCATAAAGAAATAYAGTGCGTCTRGGGGGAGATCAGTTATCTGTATGATGTTGCAACAATAAATTTTCGACCCCCACCCCCCGTAGTAATTGATAAATAATGACTGTCACGTTATGTGGTAAAAAAGGAATAAAGGTAGAATCCCCTCCCCCCCTCCCTTCTCACACTTCACTCAAATAAACAGGATATTGRACACAATATGGTAAATGATGACGACAGGACAGTGTGTTCACCACGCACGCGCGCTACCGTAATAGTACCGTAATTTGTAACGAGTTTTAAAATATTATTAAAAATTTCCTTGCATGACGTCCCTACTTCCGCTGCGAAAATAGGTCAGAGGTTAATCATACTCATGATGGGAAATTCAGAACTAAAATTTAACCGTTCTATTAATAAAACTATATATGGGTTTATAATTATCCATCTGTCAAGGTTATAACGTAAGTAAAATTTACAATCAAAGGTTGRGTCTTCGAGAGAAAATGAATTGAAAATTAAGTAGACGAATGAATATTGGAAGTGATGAAMAGAAAAAGGGTGCACACGAATTCGCGTACAGAAGGAAGGATGGAGAAAGAAAAGAAGGAAGAAAGGAAGAATGAATGAAACTAGAAAGAAAGAAACTAGGAAAGAAAAGGAACTAGATGATAATACAGCCGTGTGTTGCTTAGTTACAAAGTTCGATACCATTTACAAGTAAACTGTATGCATGGCAACGATGTATTGTAATTCTAATCGAATATCAACGTGATGAATATCCTTCATTGCATCACGCCTGAGACGAGTTCTTTTTTTTTTGGTATCTCCATGATTCTTGGGTTTATTTGAGTTTTCCTGTTTGTCTCCCTCACCAAACCTAACGAGCTAAATTCCAATTCGATCTTTGAGGYAGTTATCCGTGCCCTGACTTYGATTAGTCAACACGTTTTTTGAGGGCATCAAAAGAATCCTGCATATATGGTCTCTTGAGGACATCRATAAAATTTGAGTACGTTATGGAATCACAGAATTAAGCTAGAGACAAGAGTTAAGTTACAAGCAGGAGCCAGATGTTATTGTAACCTAACTCCGCTTAAAATCTTCAAATAACTGACTCCCAGGCTATTTTTGAGTAATTATATGAATGGATAAAACGTGACACGAAGAACCGCAAAGACCGCACACTTACCCAAAAAAATGCTTTTAGTTCCTACGGATTATCACTATGTCATTTACGCACAGAAAAAGAAGTTTATTGATGTTGTTAAGCATGCGCAATTAAAATAAGACGTACGATAGGAAGTGGGATTGAATAAGGGAAGGTCTGCATTTCCCCCTGTGGCAATAGTCCTCTACAAAGACGCCTGCCTTTGCACCGAATTGCAATTAAGAAAAGGTCTCTATCATTGCAAGTTCACCGTTCGTCTCGATTCGATTGAAGCGAACTGTGCGAATCAGTTTAGGAAACTACCCAAGGTTCATCTGTTACTCCATTTCAGGGTCGGTGAATTGGATAAGGTGTACGCAAAAAAAAAACACGTCCACTTTGTTCAAAACTCTCTACCTTTCCTGCTACATAAGCTATCTCCAACCCCTCCCCCTCCCCACCAAAATAAGGAGAAGAAAAAAAGCGGTAAAATATTTATACATTCCTTAAATGAAAGGCATACCGGTTCACCACCAAGAATTTACTTAAGCAGTCTCGATATTTAGAGATATGCAGTAGATTTGATATCTATAGGAAACGTATGGTAAAGACTTCCGAATGGCCTCATCCAACCACYGTATCAATCGGTACAACGGGTAAACAATTCGATAGTCAAGTCACTGCCACACTTATAAGCTACTCATCTGCAGCTACGATTTGATACATGAAGGTAAGATGAATCTAATGATAAAGGGCAAGTAGTTTTGTTTTCTTTTCCCAGGGAAAAGAAACAGTTACCTMTAGGAGCGCCATCAACGTAAACTGATAGGAGCCTAGCTAACTGRCTAACTGGAAAACCGACGACCAAATGTAAGTTGCAGGGAACGCAGACCATGCATGATTTAGCCACCATTTCAAAATTTTTAAGGTGGTTTGGGATTATCTCACTATATGTAAACAATTCTATGTYAATTATAATAGGAATGTTACTTTAAAAACAAAATATCTTCGTGACATGGCTGTTGCTTTATGTTGCTGACCGAAAAATGTACCATTGACATTAATAATCTAACCGTGTGATCAATCACTATTCTTTAAGCTAACAGCTTACGACTGAAGAAATGCTCCCTTTATGGAATTATTCTTTCTTTAAGAAGCCTATTTGGTCTTTTGGCAGCAATTTGTATCCAAATGATCATGATCAACGAAACGCGCACCGCGATTGGTCAAGCAATGGTAAAACGATATCGATCGTGCGCAGACGTCGATATGGGAACGCTTATACTATTGGTCCTATCGTCTTAGAATATTTCATAAGCAAAAGTAAAAATGCAAAAGGAAAAAATTACCTATTTTTTTCACTCTGGAATAGAAAAATCRAGAGTTTGTGTTATAATGATTCTCTAAACTAGGGAGAGGTTGGATTCTCTGTGCGTGCACGAGAAGAATCTTTGATTACAGATTCATTTACACAGAATTGGCTTCATATCAGCGTTAGCTAGATACCAACGGTAAAGTAAAGAACGCACAGCTTCAAAAATACAAACACTTTGAAATTCGACCAACTTTCACTGGAGTACGTGAATATTCTACTAAAGATCGAGAAGCAACTCTGAGAAAAAGAGAATTCACGCGAGACTGGAATATTTCTACCTGTGGTACCTAAAACACAGCAGGTTTAAGAAGAAAAAGAGCTATAGCTACGCCCTCGTCACAATTCCAAAGCTTAGGCAGTGTCCATGGCTTATTCCGCAATTTATTCTTTATTTATTCTATTTATTCCGTTCGCGCATCGGGCCAAATCATCAAAAATCTAATAATAATACTTTAACTTAAAAACATTTYGCATTTCTCTGATTATATATAAAGTTGAAACGATTGATGATAATCAAGTGAATTACTAGCATGTATATATGACAGTGTAATACAGGTAGCGTGCAACAACACGAGGCGAAAATAAATAAATGAATATATATGTTGTTTTTACACAAAAGTTCGCTTCAACACATCTCCAAGCAATAATATTTCTCTAGCACGCTATTGATGATAGACAATGATAATTTAAAATATTTAAACGAAAATTATATAAAAAATTAAAGCTATATTTTAGTAAATTATTATTTTTTAAATAAAGTTGACTGCGATAAACAAATTTTGGATGCCACTTATTGTTCTTTTATGTTTTACTTGTTGTTTTGAAATACGTTAACGATAATACTTCGAACTAAGAAGCACAGTAATTATAGTAAAATATGTAGATTATCAGCAAGGAGACCTGGAAATTCAAATAATTGCTTTAAATCATCCTAGTGACGACTTGGCTGCTCAGTATAGGTGAAATTAATTCTTAGCAAAATTTCAAAGGCTYATTAAATTCAAAAAGTATATATTTTTCAAAATATTTTAAGCTATAGGTAAGATATCTTGGAGAATTAGATATTAGCTCGCTTTAATAAATTATATTTTCTCTCGTACTAGACCAGACTTCTTTGACTAAGTATCTAGCCGACCTCGTAATTCAAAACTACTTTAAAGTCACACCCAAATTGTACGCTCGTACGCTGTTAAAAATCACTGTTTGATCACTGAAAATCACTCGAAGTGTAAATAAAAAATTCTAAGATTAATYCTCGTCAGGCTTTTCAATGAGTATTTGGATTGTGCTCTTAAAATCGACCGTGTTCGAAAAGTGTTYATAGACAAGAACGGTCGTATGGAATAAGTAATTAGAGCGATGTACTATTGTTTGTAAGCGGTCCGGTACTAATGATTATAACTAAAAGAAACCATTACGGTTATCAAGAAAACAATCAGTCATAATAAATGAAAGTCACTTACCAAAATATCTCTCATGTTAAGGGCACTTCGTTCGTTGCAAAATCACAGCGATTCAATGAAAGATATGTAAAGTTGTCCCACCTCAGAAGAGATCCAAATTACAACTGAAATCCATGCTTTGCCATAAGGTTTTTGCCACAATTGATTGTTTTTAAAACTGGTACTGTTATAACTACTAATTAAACACAGCTGAGATCTGGTTAGAGGCTTAGGAAGGAAGGAAGAAYACGGAATATACGAAGAGTATAGAGCCGACCCCGGCTCTCGAATGCTCGGCCTCTAAAGTGGTGAATCAATGATTGACAGCTAGAGAATTAAAAGTATTTATTCAGTTGGGAGAATTGCCACGAATCAACGGGGTATGAATAATGATCTCCAGGAATAAAAATCAAAAAAAGGAAATGCAACGATTATTATCCAAATATAAATCAAAAAGTCGATCAGAAATTATGGATTTTTACGTACAATTTGTTCACACCAAAAGATTTCACTATCTAGTCGATGTTGGTATCAAAATATGGCACGATATCTGGCAGGATAATATGAGATTAAAGAGAAAACAATTAATAAATT